TGCACTGCTTCTTTAAATATCAGTTGTCTTGCATTTTGTTTTAAACAGTTTTCATTTTCTCAGTTTGATGCAGACTTACAGGGCTGTCATTCATCATAGGAAACAAAGTAGTGTCAAAGTAATACTAACAGACATCCTTTTCTTTGTCATAAGAGCAGAAGATTGTTTTAGTAGCCAAAACTATTTTCTACAAAGTTAAAACTTGAGAAAGCTTCAAGTGAATCTCCTGTTTTGGTGTAACAGCCCTGCTCACCCAACACATTTACTTAAATTGGTTAAATAGAGAATTGGAGTGTATAGGATGAGGGCTGTTATGTAATTCCTTGGAGTGTGATTTTGATTAGAATCTTGTAGTTCTTATTTAAGGGACCTTAAAATATATTTGTAGGTCTGTCCTAGTATTTTATTTTATTAGTGATGCCATCTCTGTTGTTGATTTTATTAATAATTATCTAATTATATTGCTCATTTTCTGGAATATTATCGTCTTTCACCATTTTTTTTATTTAGCAGTTTTCTTATTAGTTCGTTGAATATTTGTTGGTTTGGGAAGTTTCTGTGTAGAAATAGGTTTCTATTTTTGGTCTTCAATACTTGCCTCTTCCCATTACCTGTTCTATCTGTGCTTTATAGTTGCTGCTATCTTCATGTTTGTGTTTTTGTTGTTAAAGTGATTGATATGATTAGTAGATTATCTTTGTACCTTTAAAGCCTTCTAATATATTATTAACACTTTTTCTTAATTAACCTCAGCTTTCAATGTGGCATAGCCTAGATTTATCTGAGGAAACACCAACTGAGAGTGCCTAGATCAGAAAATGTGGTAACCTGGAAGATGGGATTGTTGAGAGTAATGATAGACAGTGGTGGTCAAGCTCAAAGGTTATAGTGTACAATAGGCTCCATAGGGAACCACAGAGTTGACCTGGCCTATCTACCCTGAGAGATGTGTGTCAAAAAAAATTTTACATGAATATCCATGGCTCCTTGGACAGAATGTGCTTTCCAGTTCCTGAAACATTGATACATTCCCTCAGGTAGTGAAGCACTAAGGCTAATTTGTGTTTCACTTACTGGTCACGGAATCATAGAAGTTTAATAGGACAGTTGTTCTTAGACATTAATTTTGTGTACCCTGTATGACTTGCAGAATTCATTTTATCATGGCAACTAAACTGTATTTATCCAGGAAATTAACATTATCTTCTGTTTCTGATAAAAACAATAAAAAATCTGATTGCTCTCCATAAAACAGTCATAGCATCCTCTTGCTGTGGTGACTCCAGCTCAAGCCTGAGATTATTCCTCTGGGCCCTATCAGTTGATTGGTAAGTGAGCACAGATGCTATGAAGACTTCATGAAAAATTTAGTGAAAGGTCATTTGTGTGATATTTTGGCCCCAAATCCTTCGTTTTCTCTCCATGACCCAAGAAAGTGAGTAAGGCACTATTAAAAAAGTAACAGTCTGATTTCTTAGACCAAATATTTCTTCTGTTGGATGGTCATTACTGATGACACATTTGCATCAACAGGGAAAAGGAAACAAGGAGAAAGAAATGACAAGTGTAGTTGAAATTTTCTCTCCCACCTGCCAATTTTTGAGTTACCACTCAGAGGCTTATATTAATTATAAATATTTGGCCAATGGTTCAGACTATTACTGGCTAGCTTTGCCCTGGTTCCTGGCTTATTTCCTTACATCTTGCTTCTCTGGTAGCTCTTGGTGTCTCCATTACTCTGCAGTCTTTCTCTCTGTATCTCTGGTAGATTTTTTTTCTACCTAGCTATATTCTGCACTGCCATATACCAAAAGAGTTTTATTCATTAACCATACAAAGCAACACATATTCACAGAATACAAAATACCCCACATCAGAAAAGTCTTCATTTTTTTTTTAGAAAACCATCACTCAAGAAAATAAAGAACTTAAGGAATGAGACAATGACAAACCATATAATCCAAGTATAAATGTGTACACTGCTAAACAGAATTCTCAGTAGATGTATCTAAAGTGGATGAGGAACAATAGAAGAAATGTTCACCATCATTAGCCATCGTGGAAATACATATCAAAACTACTGTGAGATTTCATCTTAATCATGTCCAAATGATTAAGTACATAACACCAATGAAAACTAATGCTCTCAAGAAGATGAGCAAGGAGATTCATTGCTTTTGCAAGTATACACTTGTACAGCCACCATGGAAATCAATATTCAGTCTTCAGGAAATTGAGTCAGTCTATCTCCAAACCCACTTATACCACTCTTGGATATGTATCCAAACAATACTTCCAGAAGGAACACTTTTTTCAAATATGTTCACAGTGACTTTATTCATAATAGCCAGAAACTGTTATATCTCTGAGAGCTTTTGTTGATTGATGATCCATGTGGGAAGGTTCCTCCACTGAGGGTGGTATTATCCCTAAAAAGTGGGCCTGAACTACAAATGGAAAATATCTTCACTAGGCAAGAGATAGAGCCAGGAAACAATCATTGCCCATGGGTTTTGCCTTTAATTCTTATCTTATGTTTCTTTATTAAGCTCCCAAAATGATGGAGTATTTGATACAATCAGTCAAATAGACGTATTCATTGCCTGGGCTGCTTCTGGTTATCAGATTTAATCAGTACAGCAAAAACACAAGTTATACCAAAAGTGAAACACCAAAAGGGATTTGTTTTTCTATGCAGAACCTGGAAGTTTTTTTTGTTGTTGTTGTTGTTTTTTTTTTTGTAAGAATGTCAAAGATATCATGACTTTAGGTGGCAAAAAACCATAGAAAGTTGTACATAAATTTAAAAGACTGTTTCTGTAGGACTAGGAAGATGGAAATGTTAAGAGTAATAGCAGAAAGTGCAGATTGAGATCATAGGATTTCCATCCAAAATAGACACCATAAAAAATTATACTCAAGGTCATTTGTGTGATATATTGAGCCCAAAATCTTTCTTATTCTGCCTATGCCCTGGAAATTTAGTACAGGAGAATTAAAAATAATAGGCTCATTCCTTAAATAGAATAATAAATCTGTTGGATGGTTATTACCGATGACTCATTCAGTTCGACAATAAAAAGAAAGTAACAAGTGAGGCAGAAATAAATGAAAATGAAAAGGTAATTTCATATCATTCAGTAAATTGCTGAAACAGGTGACAATTTTCAAGGAGTTTATCACCACTATAGAAAAGGTTCTTCCTGTGGAATGGAAACTTTTCAAGGTGCCCTAAGGGTAGGACTCCATCCACATAAATCTTCAATTTATGGAAGGAGTAAATGATGTGGGAGTACCCTCGGTGTGCTGTGAATACTATTAATGAATAAAGAAACTGCCTTAGCCTGTTGATAGGGAAGAACTTAGGAAGATGGGGAGGACTGGACTGAATGCTGGGAGAAAGAAGGGTAGAGTCAGAGAGACACCATACTTCTGATGCTGCCAGAGATAGACGTGCTGAAACTTTGCTGGTAGGCCATGACCCCATGATGATATGCAGATTAATAGAAATGGGTTAAATAAATAAAATTTAGCCAATAAGAAGATAGAGGTAATGGGCCAAGCAATGATTTAAATAATACAGTTTTTGTGTGATTATTTCAATTCTGCGTAGGTGGGATGAACAAGCGGCTCCTCCTTGCAACAAGTTAGGAAAGTGTTTTTTTATTCCCAGGAAGCAGCTTCCTAAAAATCTGTTGTACCTGTGATCCAAGCATGTTAGGTATATGGGTTAATAAGTCAAACTTATGGATTTCTGTGAGTTGCAGGACAGCCTGGATTATAAGAGCTAGTTTCCAGGAAAGGCTCCAAAGCTACTGAGAAACCTTCACTTGAAAAACAATACAACAACAACAAAAGAAAAAGAAGTCTAACTTTGCAGTATTACTCATCATGTGCTGGTCTTGTAAACAAGAAATAGTAAAAATTAATGTAATGAATTCTTAGTCTGTGATTACAGCTCAGCAGTGTTGCTGGCATCTATGCTTGGCATAATCAGAATCCCAGGGAGGAGATTGAGAGTTCATTCCATGGAACTGTGAGGCTGAAGCCTGGTGTTGATGTTTTCTCTCTCTCTCTCTCTCTCTCTCTCTCTCTCTCTCTCTCTCTCTCTCTCTTTCTTTATGCTTGTGGGGGCATACCATGAAGCTTCCAAATAAATAACACACATGAAGATTTATTTTTTTTATAAATTCCTGGCCTTATCTTGGCTTGTGTCTAGACAGTTTTTCTTAAATTATACCATCTACATTTTGCTTCTGGAATTTTATCTTTCTCTACTCTGAATGTCTTTCTTTACTTCTTACTCTGTGGCTTGTTGTGTAATTAGGTAACTGACTCCTGGTACCCTCTCCTTTTTTGCTCCTTGTTCCTATTTTCCTTCTCTTTGCCTTCCAGACCCTCTTATCCTTCCTGCCAAGATATTTGTTGTTCTGCTTTTTATTAAGCCAATTAGGTATTTTAGACAGGCAAAGTATCACAGCTTTACAGAGTTAAACAAATCTGATACATCTTTGCATCATTGAAACACATGTTCCACAGCATAAAAAAATAAAATGCATCATACAGTAATATTCCACTTTTGTCTCCCCTTTTGTCTAAATCAAAATGAAATATTTTAACTTTAACTTACTAAGACTATGTATGATAAAAGCAGTTACCAAGTAAGAATTACATTTACAATATTCAATCCATTTATATCTACAAATTACAGAGAAAACACTCCATTATCCATGCCATACTAGTGACTCCAAACTTTGATACTTAACTTACTTTCTAGCATAGGGTTGAGAAACTGAAACTCTAATTATTTAGTCTTTAACTCCATCCAAGACCTGATATGGTGGACAGTCTCCCAAAGGTTTTTTTTTTTTTTTTCAACATTGAGCCATCCACTTCATTTACAGCATACAGGAAGGCTTTTCTCTAAAGTAGAAAATTTGAAGGACTATTCTGCCCTGTATTGGCAAAGCTCATCAGTCACTTTCCTTTGTGTCCTGCAGAATGTCTGGCAGACTCTTCTGTGAAACAGGAATCCCAAAGCACTCTTCTGGCTTGCTTGTTTTGAAAATGATCATCAATCACTTTCCTGTTGCTGCTGCATGTAAAATCTGCACAGCACACTGTTGATCAACCAAAGGTAGTAGCTGGTTTTTTTCACCCAGTGATTAGCCTTACCAGAATGAAAGCAACACCAATGGAGTTTCTTCAATACCCATCATTTCTTAAGCAAATAAGTGCCATATTCTGTACATTTTTTTAAGTGTTTGAAAGCCATTTGTCTATCTGGATATATCTCTGTAGGATCTTGAAAAAATATCTAACATCAACATATTTGATTGTTATAAGTGGCTATCTACTAACCTGAGTTTCCTGTTTATCCTAAATAGTTTATAATAATAGCTTTCAAAAACTAGAACTTTATCTTACACTTTTAAATGAGTTGCATAAATACAATACCTTAAAGAATAGAAATATGTATATGTACACACACACATATATATATATACACACTGTAACAAAAAATAACTTAAATATTTATCAAAATACTATATTCCCCTAAATGATAACAAGCATCTATAGTCCACCAAATAGCCAAAAGCCTACTATATTTCATCTGCTGGAAATGTGGGTGTCATGTTCTCTAGATTACTTCCTGCTGAATATGGGTGAAGACATCTGTAGGTTCCTTGAGAAAATTTGAGATAATATTTAAGTCCTGGGAAGAACAGCTATAATCTTTGCTGATTGTCATCACTTGTCAAGATTTAGGAGGTCTTCCCTGATCAAACCTGATCAATGTCATTCCTAAAGAAATCCACAGCATATGTCTGCTGTGGAAACAAAAGCAAAATCTCTTTTTAAAAAATATTTTTATTTTCATTTAACAGATATGTTTGACTTCTAAAGTTAAGATAACTTGACAATAAAAGAGCAAATAATCTCACAAAGATGGGGTACATACCTAAACAGAAAACTTTCAGCAAATGAATCTGAAAGGGCTGAGTGACACATTAGTAAATTCTCAGCATGCTTAGTTATCATAGAAATACAAATCAAAACAGCTGTGAGATTCAATCTTATACCTGTCAGAATGGCCAAGAGCAAAAACACTGATGACAGCTTATGCTGGAGTGGATATGGGGTAAGGGCAACACTCTTCCACTGGTGGGCTTGTAAACTTGTACAACTGCTTTGGAAGTCAGTATGGTGATTTCTCAGAAAATTAGGAAACAATCTACCACAAGACCCAGTAATACCCCTGTTGGGTATATACCCAAATGACATTCAATAATACCACAAGCACATGTGCTTAACTATGTCATAGCAGCATTATTTGTAATAACCAGAACCTGAAAACAACCTATGGTGTGGGAAGTCCTTTTGTAAATGTGTTGCTTTTGTTGGTTAGTGAATACAGAAGCTGGTTTTGCCAGTGGCTTAACAGAATAGAGCTAGGCGGGAAAACTAAACTAAATGCTGGGAGAAAATACAGTGGAATCAGAAAGATGCCATGGAGCTGCCAGAGGAGAAAGATACTAACCAACAGACCCAACCTTGGGTAGAGTTAATTTAAGAGATAAGAGTGAGCTAAAAATACACTTAAGCTATTGGCCAAACAGTATTGCAAATAAGATGTTTTCTGAGTGTTTATTTTGGTGCTGAACAGCTGGGAACCAAGTAAATGACACCAACAACATACCTAGACGGTCCTAAACGGAAGAATAGATAAAAGAAAATGTGGCACATTTACACGATGGAGTACTACACATAGGTAAAAAATAATGACATCTTGAAATTTGCAGGCAAATGACAGATCTAGAAAAAAACATATTGAGTGAGGTAACCCAGACCCAGAAAGACAAATACAATATGTAAGCACTCATACGTGGCTTTTAGTCATAAAGCAAAAAAAAAAAAAGACACAAACAAAAAAAAAAATAAAATAAAAACTAGACCCCAGAGAAGCTAGACAACAGAGATTCTAAGAAAGACATACATGAATCTACATATGAGGGTGAAAAAGACAAGAACTTCTGAGTAAATCAGGAGTGTGGGGGGGTCACAGAAAAGAGAAGAAGAAGAGAGAGGAAGAAGGGAGGAGAGTGGAGAAAAATCGTAAACCTCAATAAAATCAATAGTAACAAAGATAGCCCAAATTACCTAAATTGGTTCAATTTTACAGTGCTGTTTATCATCTCATGTCCTCCACCAGCTGTCTCTTGCCTCAGAATCAACATAATATTATATACAATCCTGACTTCCTGTTTATTTTTCATCTTTACATGCCTCTTTTAATTCTATTACTGTTACTGTCTTTTTACTATTTTTTAAAGCTATTTCTTTCTATTAATGCCTATATGTATTTTTTTCACTTTCTTAAGCCGATACAAATTGTAAAATACACTGGAAACTTTTTAAGTTTTTTTTCAGTCTGAGCCTCTTTAACTGAATATCATTTCACCTTTTTTGACAAGATAAGCCTTTAAACTGCTATAAAGCATTGAACTCCACTGGTGACATTGTAGTCTCCTTCTGCTTCTCTTTTCATGAAATCCAAGCAATACCTTGCAGCCAGATCGAATGTATGTTTCAGGACCTCCATTTTTCCTTCATATCACTAGGAATCTGATTATTGTGCTGCTACAAACTTTTTTTGTTGTTGTTATTGTTTGAATTTTTATGTACTCCCTGCTCAAAGACTTCTTTAAGGAAGAAACTCTTAAAGGAGCCATAAGTTTTGAGCCCCATATTGGGCATCAAAATGAATTCAGTTGATTTTGCTCTTTTGGGAAACAAGACACCTAACTTCCAAAAAAAAAAAAAATCGCAGAGCTTTGTTATGACTTATAAATCTCGGGCATTAGCTTGACTTGTTTTTGGCCATTGATCTTAACATAAATTTTCCATCAACCTTTTGCCTCTAGCTTTTATCTTTTTCTATTCTGTATACCTTTCTTATTATTCTCTAGCATGTACCTGGGTGTCTGGCCCCTGGTGTCCTATCTTTTTTTGTTTCTTTGTTTCTCCCTCCTATTTTCCTCCAAGATTCCTCCTCACATCTATTCTCTCTGCCTTCCAGATCCTCATTTCTTTTCCTGATAAGGTACTGGATTTTCCTCTCCTTGTTAGCACAATCAGGTACTTAAGACAGGCAAAGCATCAGAGCTTCACAGAGTTAAAAGAATTAACATAAAAGAATGCAACAAATCTTTGCATCATTGAAAAATATTCCACATCATAAGGGAATATAACACATCTTAATAATATTTTGCAATAGCCTGGGTAGCATTTTTGAGACCACAAGATGTTGAGATACCTAGCAATGAGACATCTACCATGAGAGCAAGCCGTCTATATAGGGAGTGGAGGTAATCAAAGAGAGAGATGTATGAAAAGTTCCAGGGATAGGGCTATCTCAGTCTTTTGAAACTGAAGTTGCATGCATCTGAGATAGAGCATCAGCATTTGATTATTTTTTTCCTGCTGTACTTCAGTCTTGCCTTAGTCCAATCTTTTCTCAGTATGTTTCCATTTTTCCGTTTTGGAATAGGAATGGTATTTTGTGTCATTGTATGTTAGAAAGATGTAACACATTTTCTGATTTTACAAGACATCACTGTCAAGAGATTGTCTTCAGTCACAAAAGACTTTGGACATTTAAACATTGTAGGGGCTTTTTCAGAGTATGGGGATCATTGAAGTGACTAAAGCATATTTTTCATGGATGAACATGAGCCTTTAATGATCTAGATCATATTGTAATTGATTAAAATGAACACCTCCCCAAATAGGAGGATGCATTTGAACATGTATCATTCCTTGGTGACTTTCTGCTGATTACTTATGAAATCGTTAGTAGGTGGAGGCTTTCTGGATGAAATTCCTCATTGGGGATGTAACATGATTCTCTATTTCCTCAACCTATTTCCTCTTCTGTGTCTACTGTGTTATGTTTGATACTAAACAGTAAACTTCCTCTGCTGTCATGCCTTCACCACCATTATAATAGAGTTACATAAGATTCACTATAAATTATTGCTATTCAGTGATAAGGCAGTTTAGTATCCTGTTGTTTGACTCTTCTTGTTTTTAAGTTTTTGAAGACAATATTTGTCCATGTAAACCTAGCTGTCCTAAAAGTAGTTCTGTACACCAGGCTGTCTTCAGTCTAAGAGATCCTCTGACTCTAGAGCCTATGATTAAAGGTGGGCCAGCATTCCTTGCTTTTTTTATATTATTGATTGATGGTTTTCTCTCTGTCAAACGTATGCTTTTATACTAAGATTCCCCCATATCTGGAATATAAAAATTTGGAAGAGGGTATCATTTTATTTCCCCAAATTTATTTATGACATTAATAAATTCTGAGACTCCTGATTAATTGGATTGTAGGTACATCAGCTTCTTCTTGACTATAATGTTTGTTTTGAATTTTTTATTGTATATGAGAATTTTCCTGTATGCATATATATGCACTATGTGAGTACCTGTTCCTCCACAGAAACCCTGACCATAGAATACTGAGTTGTTGTGATTCCCCCTTGTTAGTACAGACAGTTGAGCCCACCTCTATGCAAGCCACCTTCTTTCCTGCCCTGTGTTGATTACTTGTGATAGCATTTATTGCTAATGTTTTCATCGCTGAATTTTAAGTTTTTAAATATACAGTGTCTTTTAATAAAGTTTTTTTTTTTGATGTAATAGTTTAAATTAGCATACTTCAGGTTTCTGGAAGATGAATACAGAGCTGGAGTTAATGCATAACTCATTATAGGAACTTAACTAAACACCTCTGCGTTTTTGATTTTAGCCATTCTGACAGGTGTAAGATGGTATCTTAAAGTTGTCTTGATTTGCATTTCCCGGACTGGGTCTGAATAAGCATGGGATAAAACTGGACTCACTGAACATAGAGGACAATGAGGACTGCTGAGAAGTCAAGAACAATGGCACTGGGTTTTGATCCTACTGCACGTACTGGCTTTGTGGGAGCCTTGGCAGTTTGGATGCTCACCTTACTAGACCTGGAAGGAGGTGGGAGGTCCTTGGACTTCCCACAGGGCAAGGAACCCTCACTGCTCTTTGGGCTGATGAGGGAGGGGGACTTGATTGGAGGAGAGAGAGGGAAATGGGAGGCGGTGGTGGAGAGGAAGCAGAAATCTTTAATAAATTAATTAATTAATAAAAAAAAACCTAAACACCTCTGTGATTTTTTAAATGATTTTGGGGTTTTGTTTTGTTTTGATTTGGCTAATTTTTGCATTGATAACAGTTTCTCGATATGTAATTTTGACTATCCTGGACATGATTGGGTAGACTTGTCTGGCATTCAATTCAGAGGCCTCTGCGTTCTGAGTGCTGGAATTAGAGACAGGAGCCAATATACCTAGCCTGCCCATATTTTTCTTCATTTTTTGTAGGCAGTAATTAATTGTTCATACATTTTTATCCCTATGTGTCCTTTGTACTGCTGATCTGTTTACTTGTCTCTCTCTCTGTTTTTTTAATAGGCATTTCTATCGCAGGTGATATCTCATTCAAGGGGTAAAGAAATGATAGCGCTGAACCTTCTATTTAGTTTCCTTCAAAAGTTACTTGGTGACTAAATTGTTATGTATATGGTATAGAATAATTGGGCGGGAAGCCCTAAAATTATGTGAGTATACTATTAAAGAAATATACATTTATACTGTCATTGTCATGCTTTCTATTGTATGTATACATTGGAAATTTTAGAATGCAGTGACCTATGATGATGTGCATGTTGATTTCACTTGGGAAGAATGGACTTTGCTGGATCCTTCCCAGAAGAATCTCTACAAAGATGTTATGCTGGAGACCTACAGAAACCTCACTATTATAGGTAAGACTGAATTTCCTCTTACGTTTCAAAATAAGGGAACAACAGTTGATTGGTTATTGATGTTCTTCTCTAATTTTATTAAGAAAGGAAAGCAATGGGATGAATGATTCTAAGGTTCAGAGAAAATAGCAGCTAAAATTTTGCATCAATTTCAATGTTACATAGATTTTCTGATATTATATTTTAGGATACACTTGGGAAGACCATAATATTGAAAAGCCTTCTCAATGGTCTAGAAGATATGAAAGGTAATTTTCATGTGCAAGCGGATACAAATGTATGCTTTTAAGGAAGAAGCTAAGGAAACAGTGTCTTAACACTTATCACCATTCGAATCATAGCGTCATGAGAGCTATGCTGTAGAATTGTCACTCAGTTTCTTCCTCACCATCGTATTACAAAAATTATAAACATTGAAGTGATAATAAGTATGTCACCAAGACTTTCTAACATGCAAATAGTCCATGCTGAAGCTTTTGTGACTCCTATATTTGATGTGACTGTACTAAGTTTATTGAGGGTGCAATTAGAGTAAAGAATGAAGAGGTAGTTGTGGACAAACCTTAATCCCTATACCAAAAGTCTAAGAGGACAGAGGGTCAAACTCTGTGAATTTAATTGAAATCCTTTTATGTGTTATTTTTCTTTTACTGGGTATATCATATGTTACTCTGGGTACAAGGCTTATGAGCATAGAGATATGGAAAGACATAACATTCTTCTCTCTCAGAATAATTAGAAGAGGGTTGGAGAGATGGCTCAGTGGTTAAGAGTATCGCCTGCTCCTCCAAAGGTCCTGAGTTCAATTCCCAGCAACCACATGGTGGCTCACAACCATCTGTAAAGAGGTCTGGTGCCCTCTTCTGGCCTGCAGACATGCACACAGACAGAATGTTGTATACATAATAAATAAATAAATATTTTTAAAAAAGAATAATTAGAAGATATGTAGCAGTCCCCATGTTGAGTATGCTTGTTGAAAATCATTCAAGTATTCAAGTAATTTTTTTCCTGTTTCAACAATAATACATCAAAAAATGCACATTGTGGAAAATCCCCATGAGTACTAGTAATAATAATTGGCAAATATAGTATCTCTCACGGTATAGGAAAAATTTTAAATCCAATAAGTCTGAGCTTTTCCAGTTTTCTTCAAATATTTGAAAAAAATTTTATAGACAAATGATTCTGTAAATGCTACTCATGTAATAAAAGATCTTACCATCAAAGGTATCTTTAAAGTTGCAAAATATTCTTAGTAAATGGAAACAGCATAAGTATAAGCACAGTGATAAAACCTTAAGATCTATTTCCTCTTTAAAAATGGAACAAATTTAAAAATTATTTGATACAGTTATAACGATTCAGCTGTGTATTTAATGTGGTAACACTTATATATGTGCCATTATCCTTACAGGCATGAAAGAAATCAAACTGGAGGAAAAACTTCCACATACCCTCAAAGTATTAAAGCCGTTGCATGTGACAGTCATCTTCAAAGACATAAAAGAAAACATCCTAGCGAGAAACCATATAAATGTATTCAATGTGTGAAGCTCTTTTCATGTCCCAAAAGACGTCATAAACAAAAAAGAACATATACTGGAGACAAACACTTTAAATGTACTCAGTGTGGTAAAGCCTTTGTATATCACAGTGATCTTCAAAAACATAAAAGAACACATACTGGAGAGAAACCTTATGAATGTATTTGGTGTGGTAAAGCATTTGCATGTCACGGTGTTCTTCAAAGGCATAAAACAACACATACTGGAGCGAAACCCTTTGAATGTAATCATTGTGGTAAAGCCTTTGCACGTCACAGTCATCTTCAAATACATAAAAGAACACATACTGGAGAGAAACCCTATGAATGTACTCAGTGTGGTAAAGGTTTTGCAAGTCAGGGTCGTCTTCACCTTCATAAAAGAACACATACTGGAGAGAAACCCTATGAATGTACTCAATGTGGTAAAGCATTTGCATGTTACAGTAGTCTTCAAAGGCATAAAAGAACCCACACTGGAGAAAAACCCTTTGAATGCAATCAGTGTGGTAAAGCCTTTGCACGTCACAGTCATCTTCAAATACATAAAAGAACACATACTGGAGAGAAACCCTATGAATGCATGCAGTGTGGTAAAGCCTTTGCAAGTCAGGGTTATCTTCACGTTCATAAGAGAACACATACTGGAGAAAAACCCTATGAATGTACTCAGTGTGGTAAAGCCTTTGTATCTCGCAATAGTCTCCGAACACACGAAAGAACCCACACAGGAGAGAAACCCTATGTATGTAATCATTGTAGTAAAGCCTTTGCATGTAATGGTCATCTTCAAATGCATAAACGAACACATACAGGAGAGAAACCCTATGAATGTAATCAGTGTGGTAAAGCCTTTGCATATCAGAGTGGTCTTCAAAGGCATAAAAGAAAACATACTGGAGAGAAACCCTATAAATGTTATCAGGGTGGTAAAACTCTTGTATGTCATAATCTCCAAATACATGAAAGAACACATACTAGAGAGAAACCCTATGAATGTAATCAGTGTGGTAAAGCCTTTGCATTTTACGATAGTCTCCAAAAACATGAAAGAATGCATATTGGAGAGAAACCCTATGACTGTAATCAGTGTGATAAAACCATTGCATTCCACAATGAATAAAAAAAACTCATAGTGGAGAAAAACAGTATGAATGTAATCATTGTGTTTAATCCTTTGTGTATCTCAATGGTCTTCAAAGACATAAAAGAACACATACTGGGGACAGAGTCTATGAATGTTGTTTGTTACAGCCTTTCATTTCACAATAGTTTTTCAATACATTAAAGAACCTGTATTGGAGAGAAACCCTATGAATGTATTCATTGTGTTCAAAACATTGCATGTCAAAAAGGTCTACAAAAGAATAAACAAACACATACTTGAGAACACATACTCAGGATTAGCATGTATAAACACATTAAGAACTTCTTAATATTCTATTCATACTCTGTCTTGATGTAATTCATTATCAGTTCACAGCACAAACTGGAGAACACATACTCTGTGGATTATCATGTGTTCATTTCACTTACTGAGAATTTGATAGTCTAGTCATACCCTGTTTTGATGTAATTCTATATCAAATCACAACAGAAACATGAGGACTCCATCTCAGCTGCTTATGAAGGCCCAAAATTAGAACCTATTTTTATCCTGACAGATATTCAGGATATCTAAATGTACTTTTTCTCCTTTTTGTTGTAATAAGTGGTTATCTGCAAAGTGGTTGCCTTTGTGATACTTGGTCTAGAGTGGCTGTAGTACCTAAACAACATAATGCTAATGACTTGATGCCTCAAAGTGTTAAAACAATTGACTGTTCAAGTTGTCCTTTGAATCATGTTAAAGAATTCCTTTACCTTCTACTCGCTTTTGTATTAGGGTATATAGTACTTGGAAAATTAAACATGGACAATTTCAGTATTCAGTAGAATGCTCTCCCAGTATTTTTTATGGTTTCTCTTTATCATTTTGTCTTCATATTCTATATATATCCCCATGTGAAGGAGAAGGCGTAAGTCACAAACACCAGTTTGGAATTATAATTAATAAAATGCTTATTTATTTAAAAGGGAAAAAACTTACAGATCACCTTCCCAGACAACAACCCTCTGCCCAATCAGGAAGGGAGACGAGTCGCCGGAAGTGGAGCAAGAAGTAAGAGAGAGCGAGAAGGGAAGTGGCTGCTTTTTTAAAGAGAGAGACCACGCCCCAATGGGCTGGTATCTCAGCGGCTATTGGCTGGAGGAGAAGGACCTCCCTAAACACCTCCCCCTTTTGTTTAAGTAAGAGAGTTCTAAACCTACTATGAAATTATATACAATAAGTACAAATATCTTATTCTAACTAGCTTAGGTCTTGTATAATAAATAACTTGGCCAAGTCTTGAGAGCAAAGTAACTACATTTATATAGTCTTCAACCCCATCGAAGATCTGAGAAGGGAAATAATGTTACCTGGGTAATTAGGAAGTTCAGTAAAACAACTTCCAAAACATGCAACAAATCACAGAGACAACTAGCTACCTGGGCAATCACCCAAAGTCAAGTCTGCAGCGTTGAAGCAACCAACTTTGGCTAAGGCCTAACATAACTGACATACCATTTTCAAAGGCAAGCAACTTTTCAAAACTATCTTACCCTGTTTGGCAGGATATGACAGTCCTGTTTTATCCATTGATGCACGCTCTGTATCTCTCTCAGTGGTTGAGGTATGAGTGTTTATTTGCCCCAAGGCCAGTTCTGCCAAAAAGAAAGACTCCAGGTGGAGTGTCTTTGGTGCTCAACATTCTCTTGGGAATAGATTGGTGTTGCCAGGAGCAATTGTGTCTCACTGCCACAAAACTCTGAGTTAGATTAAAGGCCATTTTCTACAGCTCTTTGAAGAGGTTGAAGATTATCTATACTGAGTATAATCTCTATATATCTAAAGAACCTGATTAGTCTAATTATAAATGACAAACTCAGAATACTATTGATCTATATAATTCTCAATACCTATCTAACTTAAAGACTAAGACAATAAACTTCTGTGAAACAAATGAGGACAATGACCTCCAAATATGAACAATGTACAAATATACATTGCAGTATGGTAAATATATATCAATACACAAACAATATATATGTATCTTAATCAGAGGTAGAAATGTACACTGCATTATGGTAAATATATACAATATATATCAATACAATATATGTTGATACATAAAAATGTTTTAAACAGAGGTAGAAACATGCATGCATACAATAGTCAATATAATTTCACTTTGTATCAATAAATAAGAATCAATACCAATATATTTGTCTCAAAACAATAACTCCACAAGTACCAATCTATTATCCCATCATCCCATTATCCCTCTTTTCTTCTTTTTCAAATGATCCCTGAGCTTATAAAATTTCTCCCCCAACCCTCAACCATATACTAATTATAACCAACCCCTAAATGATGTCCCTAAACCCAAGAGCAAACTTTACTGGGAGAGGGGATGTCGTCCTCTAGAATTACTTCCAGTTGTCATGGTGGCGGCGTTCTTTCTGGGGGATCCTGTGAAAGTAAAATGATGGTTAAATTTCAAGATCAATGTCTTTTAAAATTGCAAATAGTCTCTGAGTATTTTGTGGAGGTCTGGCCAGAATGTTGTACAAGATGTGCACCATTCCAGCTAATGAAGTTGGGATCGTCTTGTGCAACTGGTACCCAAAACAGGTCTTGTAGTAGTGCTATCAGTATCATGACATCATGTCAACCAGGTGGATTGTTGTTGTGG